GAGCTATTAAACTTAAATAAATTTTTCTTGATGATATAAATACCAATATTATAATAGCAATTAATTGTGCAAAAGACAAGATAAATATTTAATTAATTGAATAAGAAAAAAAAATATTTACCTATGCTTACTGTACTGAGATCAAAATATTTTTTTAAATCAAAATTCAAAGCAAGAGCACCACCACTTAACAAAACACAAAACTTTTAAATTATGTGATGTGAACTATTAAACTTAAATAAATTTTTGTTGATGATGTAAATACCAATATTATAATAGTAATTAATTATGCAAAAGACAAGATAAATATTTAATTAATTGAATAGAAAAAAAAAAAATTACCTGTGCTGGTGTGTGCTTCATCTGGACTGCTGCTGGTGTGTCCTTGGTGGTATGTGCTATCAAACAAATGTAGGGAAGGTTGGATTAAGAGATGATAGGGTTAGGAATTAGAAAAATAGGCCTTTCAAACTGTTGGGCTGGGCCTTAAACTATTGGCCTTTTAATGGGTCAAAAAAATTTAGTTAGTTTGGGCCTTTTTTAATTTTTTTTGGACTTAAAACACACCTAACATATTATACTAACTTATAATAGGAGGGGGCCCCTATTTTGGGCCTATTTTGAGGGGCCCTAAGCCATGGCCTTGTGGGCCTATGGCCAGGGCCGGGCCTGCCATGATGAAGCAGTGTCGTTTTTAGACTAAGAATTTCATACCGAATATGTAGATGATATTTTAGAAGATAAAATACATCCTAACAAAATATTTAAAATACCAAAACAATCCCATTTAGAAGACTCTTTTTACATGAACACAGAAAGCACAAAACTAGTAACCCACAACAAACGGTAGAAGATCCAGTAGAACCAATGCATTATGCAGTAGGAGGAAGAAAACCATTAGCTAATACAGGGCGTAGTAAAGCAGATCCGAATAAAAGTTATAGATTTCATGGAAAGCGGAGGCAACCATATATGAATATACAATTACAGCCAACTAATAACCAAGAACCCTTTTAGATTTAGCTAGATTCAACCCTCAGATATGGCAAGAAGTAATAGAAAAATGGGAAAAAGATGCGGTAAAAGCATGGATGAGTAATCCCTTTGAATCAACTGATATGTGGGAATATATAGAAACACTTTTAGGAGATTCAGCTTTTAATAGATATTTAACTTTTAAAGGAAAATATGAGGAGACAATTAGACACTTTAAAGGATTAGGAGATAACCCATGGAATTTTACTAGCTTTATAAAAGAAATACTAATAGGATTTGACCCTTCTAGAAGAAATGATTATACTCAAAGCATAGCATTAACAAAGTTAGATAAGATAACATTAAGAAGTTTGAAATATGTTGTACCCTTTAGTAAAGAATATTTAGCCATAGCAGCTAGAACTAGAAAACGTTTTGATGAAGAAACAGGAAATAAATATTTTAGAAAATTACCCGGAGAGCTAGGAAGGGAAATAGAAAATAAATGGTCAATTTATTATGCAAACTTACCAGCGAAAATAGCCTCAGGAGAAGTAAAAATAAGAGGAACATTAGGAATAGGACCTAGAATAGTTTTTACATTTCATAAGCTCAGAGAAAAAATGTATAGAAGTCAAAATACAAAAATATTTGAAAAAACAAAACTATGGTTTCTGTAACAGCATAATATATACTCCTCAATAATATGAAGACAAATATAATAGGAAAAAATATAAAAATATATGGAAAATATAGAAAAGAAAAATATTGGAAAAAAAAATAGAAAACCATGGAAAAAACAAAAATTCATTAGAAAGAGTAGAACTTTTAATAGGATAAATTATAAGGGACTACCCAAAGAAGAGAAAGATAAAAAAAAAAAAAAAAAAACAGAGATATGTTAGAAAACTTAATAGTAAAAAAATGTAATTTTTTTATATGTGGAGAACCCGATCATTTTGCAAAAACCTGCCCAAAAAGACAAAGGCCTAATTCTAATAAACAGATAGAAAGACTACATATAATAGAAGATTTAGAAGAAGATGTAGTAAGCATAAATAGTGATGATTCAGAAGTGTATAGCATAGTCATTGATTATAAATATCAAATAGAAGCAATAAGTTCAGATAGTGATACAGATGTAGATAATCTTTCAGGACAACTCAACCAAGAAATCGGAATACCCCCTTCTCATGACACTTTCTTTATGATAGAATGCAATGCAGATACTGAATGTCAGCATAATTTTCAAATAGGATTAGGATTTGATACCACTAGATGCAAGCTAAAAATAAAAGAGCTCAGTGTTTATTATGCAGTATAACCTATTGTGTAGTCTGTCTAGAAAAATTAAACATGACACACAAGATAACATTAGGAAATAACAACGAAATGCTAGAAGATCATAGTATCGAAAGGAGAGAATTACATTTAACAATTAGAGAATTAGAAATACAAGTAAGAGAACTTAAGTTACAAATACGAGAGGTAGAAACTAAAGCTAATTTTGACATAGAATGTTTAGAACTAGAAAATAAACAGCTTAAACAACAGTTAGAACAATTTCATACTAAATACCCCTTAAAAGATAAGTTGCTTGAAGAACATATGAACTCTTTAGAATTAGTCAACCTAGTTGATTCTTAACCCTTTAGTCAGTACTCCAAAGCACAGTCAGATAATACATATTTACCATTTAATTACCCTGTTATACCCAAGCTAAATTTAGTTAAGATTTCTTGTGTAATTAAATTTACAGAAAAAACCCTTAGTATAGATACCATGATAGATACATGAGCTAGTAAATCATATATTGAACAACACATAGTTCCACCAAGATGGAGCACAACTTTAATAATTCCAACTTTAGTCAGTATAGCCAATGGTACTAAACAGACATATACACATTGCATCAATGGAGCACAGATTAGCTTTCATCACAAAGGTTCTCGAACTCAACATATCGAATGGTTCCCTTTACCTCAAGTTTGGATTGGAAATACTCGACAAAATCATTCTTTCATCTTAGGACTTAATTTCATACTTAGTCTACAAGGTTGCATGTTTATCAGCCAAAACAACATCAGTTTCTTCAAATGAGCTGTACATACACCCACAGCATATGCCCTTAGCACCATTGCCCATTCATCAGGGTTGCGTGCGAAGCGTGGTGGTATCATAGGAGTAGATTCTGTTCCCGCTAGTTTTTTATTTCCTTGTAAAAACATTTTTCCTGAGCTAGCCCAAAAGTATATACCTGATGAGACAGCAAATACTTCTTTAGAAAATTTAGACATAGAAAATTATGAATTAGAGGATTTAGAAGAGTTTGATTTTGAAGAAAAAAGAGACTATTGGAACCTAGAAGATTTTCAACAAATTGTTAACCTAGAGTTAATTTTTGCAAAAATAGGAAAATTAAGGAAAAAAACCAGTATACAGAAGAACATAAAATGATTTAGATGAAATAATAAGATTAGGTGAAACAACAAAAATTTTAGGTGAACAGCCCATGAAATATTGGGAAAAAAATAAAGTTTTAGCCAGTTTAGATATAAAAAATAAAGATTATAGGATTATATCAGTACAAATAGATCATACGCCACCAAACATAGAAGAATTTAAAACACAGATTAAGGAGTTATTAAATTTAGGAGTAATTTGACCTAGTAATACCCTGCATAGGAGCGCCGCATTTATGGTAAGAAATCATGCAGAGCTAAAAAGAGAAAAATGTAGAATGGTTATAAATTATAAAAGATTAAATGACAATATAGAAGATGATAAATATAATATACCAGATAAAAATCAGCTCATAAATAGAATACAGATAGCAAAAATATTTAGCAAATTTGATTGCAAGTTAGAATTTTGGAAGATAAAGATGGAGAAGGAAAGCGTACCTTGGACAGCCTTTTGTTGCCCACAAGGACATTATGAATAACTAGTCATGCCTTTTGAACTAAAAAATGCACCTTCCATATTTTAGCGTAAGATGGATAGTATATTTAATAAATATAGTTTTATACTAGTAGATATAGATGACATATTAATATTTAGCCCAGATAAGAATAGTTACATAAATCATTTATATATAGTATTAGAAGAATTCATAAATAATGGAATAATAATTATTAAGAGAAAAATGTTATTAAATAAACCTCATATAGAATTTTTAGGAATGAAGTTAGGAGATGGAAAAATTAGGTTACAACCTCACATAGTTAAGAAAATTTTAGATTATCCAAATAAATTAGAAGATACAAAACAACTTCAATCATCTTTAAGAATTTTAAATTATGCACAAATGTACATTCCTAACCTTAGTAAAATAATAGGACCCTTACACAGTAAGACCATACCTATTGGGCAAAAATATTTCAATCAACAAGATATAGCTTTAGTTAGAAAAATAAAAAACATTTGTAGAAATCTACCTGACCTACAACTTCCCTTAGAATCAGAATATATAGTCGTAGAGACAGATGCAAGTCAACTAGGATAGGGAACAGTATTATTAGCTAAACCTAGCAAGTATGATAGTAAAAATAAAGAACACATTTGTAGATATAGTTCTGGAAAATGTAAAGAAAAAGACACAACCATGACCAGCCTAGATTTTGAGATATTAGGAATAGTATATGTAATAAACAAATTTAGATTATTCTTACACAAGCCCTTTACAATTAGAACTGACTGTGAAGCTATAGTTAGATTTCATAATAAACTTAATGAGCGCAAACTAAGTACCAGAAGATGGGCAAAATTTTTAGATTGTATAGCAGGACAAGGATATAAAGTAGAATTTGAACATATTAAAGGGAATGATAATAAATTAACAGATTGGCTAAGTAGAAAGATTTATTTAGAAAAAGAAAATAACCAGTTTAATTTTTGTGCAGATAATGGAGAACAACAAAATAATAAACTTTGGGAGATTTGTCCTTCCCATTTATGAAGGCAGAAACAAATTCAGACCATTAACAGGAATCGAGCTAGACCCGGTTCAACAATGTCTTTTAGATAATCTTTGGAACAACCATAACCACCCAGCTAAACGTCTGTCAGCCTTAAACTCTCTTAGTATATATTTTTCAAAAATCTAGAATAAACGCTTGTCTAAAAGCTTTTCTTTTTATGTAGTAGCTAAAGGAACCAAGCCTTGTATTTACCATGACTTGATAGAAGTTGAACCTTTACTTAAAAATTTTCTCATACCTCTGTTTAAAGGATTTTATGATTTTGAGTCAGCTAGTACATATGCCCATAGACAAATAGGAACCAGTTATTTTATCAGCCAAATAGCTAAATATTATTTGGACACATTAGGCAAGATGCAATCAACCATTATTACTACTAGTGGAGTTCCAGTTAGCCAGATAATTGGAAGTAGTAGTAATAACCCTCAAACAGATTCTCAAAATCCTCTCCAAATGTGCAGACATTGTGAAGGCCTTGCCAAAAATTTCAAGAAAATTATCGATAAAGGCAAAAGGGTCAATGAAAAGCTAGACCAGCTCCGAGACGAAGAAAAACAATTGAGAGCAACCATTCAAACCCTAACCAACTAGCTTAAAAAATTAGCTCCAGGAAAAGCAACTACTCCCTTTCCTAACTTAGAAATCAGACAACTTATCAGTGAGAAATTTGAACAATTGAGTGTTAGAATGTATTTTTTCAAACATTCTATCATTCAATCTTTTTGTGAGAAAAACCAAGCAATAGAAGACCTTAAACCCTATATATACACTTTAGCCGAAGATAGCAGAAATAACGAGTTAGTCACTATACAGCAGTTTCTTCAAGACCTCTCAATAACAAGAGTTCAATGCCCTAGGTATAACTTATCAATGGACTTATCTCTACGAGAATAAAGAGCAGCCCTGCTTACAAGAGGAAAGATGTATAGACAGGCCAGAATATTTTGATAGATGTCAGTGTAATTTAGATTTCAGCATCTGCCTTTGCCAGATAAATCTAGCAACGTTTGAGCCGTTGGAGATAGAGATTAGGGGCAAAACGCATTATCTAACAGCCTCACAATTGTTAGATTATGGCTTTGTCTCTAGAATAATTTTCTCAGTTCCAGATAGACAGATAGTTTTGGAAATAAACTTGCTCATGCAGTACTTTGTATAATGAAAGAGCATCATCCGTATGTAGAAGCAGTAATTGATAGCAAGCTACTACAATGGAAAGGAATAAAGTGCATCCCAGCTAAGCATAAAATATATCTTAGAGGAATTTCAATAGTTCCAGGATATCCAGGACTTCTCAATAGGAGACCTTGGCCATGCAGAAAGTTTTCACTCAAAGATCAACTCAATAAATGGAGGAAATTTGCTAATAATCCTCCACTAGTATATAATGGAAATTATGAGCATCTACTTTGCAAAGATAGAAATCAGTAGATATGCTATAACCTAGCTATCCCAAGTTATCCCTTCAGTAAAGAAATATTCGTCGATGAAAGTCAGTATCTCAACTATCAACATAGCGTCTCTCATGAGTCATCACTAATGAGAGAAGATAATCAAGATAACCAATGGGGAAATGAATCAGATAATGAAGATGATTTTTACGATCAACTATCAGTAGCAGACCTTAAAAACTTTTCAGATATAATGTATGCATGAAAAAAAAAAAAAAAAAATGCACCTCTATAACCCATAACACTGTTGTGTGATCCTTTCACTTTCTTTATCTTTTCTTTCACACATCACATCACCGCGATGGACAACATTTTCATTCACAGGGGTCCACAAGAATTTATATGCATATTTAATGCAAAATCATAAAAACAACCAAAGGTTGACTAATAATTTACATGTAATTGATGTTTTTTTGATAAAAAATTAATTTTTTGATTTTTTAATTTATTTTAGTGATTTTGTTAGCAAAACAATTAGACTATTTTAGATAAAAAAAAAGTTAACTTTTTTTGACAACTTTTCAAAATATGGGTAGCTGAAGAGAGTTGCAGGACAATAAGTAAGTGTTTTGTACGTATTAGACAAGTGTATTTCATTGAAAAAGAGAAATTTGCTAGAGGAAGGTAAAGAAAAGAAAAAATGAAAAAAAGATTTATATTTTATTTACTTGTTTTTCTTTTATTATTTTATTATTTATTCCTCTTTGCAAAATCTTTCTTAAAAAAATTATAATTTTAACACTATTACAGTGGCTATGACATGAGAAAATAAATTATGTATAGGATAACTGAAGTCAAGTTTCATATTAGACAAATTGATTACCCTCTATGCATGGTAAAGGAAACATTTGTCATAAACCATTACACACTTAAGTATAAAAATATATATATATATTTCATTTATTTTTTATTTAGTTATTTTCTCTATAAAGTATGCTTAAAATTCATAATTTTAATAACAACACAGTGCCTATCACACAAAAAAACGAATAGCAAATAAGACAACTTAAGTCAATTCTTCATATTGGAGAAGTGCATTTCATTAAGATTCCTTCCCCTTTTTCCCAAAAAAAAAAAAAAAAAAAAATGAAGAA